GCTACAGCTGCAATCTCTAGACCCAAGCTATCTATGCCAGCAACCACAACAGCAAAATGAAGTAGTTGTGCCCTGTTTCTCAATATCCAGAATGCAAGAGACTTAACAGTGGGGATTTTAAACAGCTACTGCAGGAAAATCAACTTTGCTTGCCAGGAGAAATGGCAGAGTCTGCCGAAGTCAGCCTGTACCTCAGAGACTTCCACCTTCCAAGTTGCATGTGGTTGGAGATGGTTGGTGATACCTAAATAACATCTAACACCAGAACTTCAAGGAACTCTACAGCCTCAGTAACTCAGGAGGACAGACTAGAAGGAAGGTAGAATGGATTGACTGCTGAAGAAAGCTAGGAGTGATTCTAGAACTCTTAGCATACAGGATGTGGACACAAAAAACTATAGGAAATCTTGAAGCAACTCCAGGGTGACTGGTTCCAATATTATAACATTCAGGAATTCAGAGTTGGGTTTGTGTCTCAAAGCAATGAAGAATTACAATGTGGTCAATAAGGAGAGGTTGGTTTGAGCAAAGTGAAAGTTTTATTGAGAGATTTTATAGAGAGTTTTTTTTTTTTTTTAAGTTTATTTATTGGGGCCAGTGCTGTGGTGCAATAGGTTTATCTTCCACCTGCAGCGCCGGTATCCAATATGGTCGCCAGTTCTATTCCCAGCTGCTCCTCTTCCAATCCACCTCTCTGCTATGGCTGGGGAAATCAGTATAAGACAGCCCAACCACTTGGGCCCCTGCAGCCATATGGGAGACCTGGATGAAGCTCCTTGCCCCCGGCTTCAGATTAGTGCAGCTTCTGCAGTTGCAGCCATTTGGGGAGCGAACCAGAGGATGGAAGGCCTTTCCCTCTGTCTCTCCCTCTCTGTCTGTAACTCTGCCTCTCAAATAAATAAATAAAATCTTTTTAAAAATTTTTATTTATTTATTTGAGAGGCAGAGCTGATATAGAGAAAGACAAAGAGGGCGGTCTTCCATCCACTGGTTCACTCCTCAAATGGCCACAGTGGGCAGGGCTGGCCTGATCCAAAGGCAAGAGCCAGGAGCTTCTTTGGAGTCTCCCATGTGAGTGCAGGGGCCCAAGCACTTGGACCATCTTCTGCTGGCACAACAGCAGGGAGCTAAATTGGAAGTGGAGAAGCCAGAGTTCCAACCAGTGCCCCTATGGGATGCTAGTGCTTTATGTAGAGGCTTAACCTTAACCTACTATACCACGACAATGACCCCAATTATAAAAGATTGAAAATCAAGACTCCTGCTACCCAGGATTGACCCCAAAGGAAGCATCCATCAAAATCTGAGTACTGGGAGCTTATTTGAGGAGTGCATATCAATTCTTTTACATAGTTCCAATATGTCAGGGGTCCGCTTCGTTTTTTCTACGTATCTTGGGTAATAGTCATTATTACTGACTAGTTAACAAATGCCACCTTGCTGACCACTTGAGAAATGTAACAGTTGAGAACATGCTCTTTTAGGTATGGGACACACTGTGTTCCCTAACTATCAAAATTCTAATTTTCTTGGGGGTAATGTCTTTTGTCTAATGAGTGAATGGCATGTTTCATGCAAACATTTGATTCCTCATTCCCACAGGGGCCCTTCCTAACCACCTATTAACCCATCTAACTATTCACAAGAGCACCAGGCAACTTGTCTGAAACTCTCCACCTGGTGTTGAGAAAGAGACAGACTGGAACATTGGGTGTGAGTGTTGGGTCACAGGCCATGTACAGGAGTGACAGGAAACTCTACTTCTTCAAAAGAAGCTACTAAAATGCCTTGCATAGGAATGAAACATTTTCTTTTCTAAAAATCACTGGAAGCTAACTGTAGTAGTTGTAATGACTACACATACAGGCCACAGAGCCTTAGCCAGGCATCAAACATCTGAAGTAAGCCAACACCATGAAAGAAAACATACAATTTACTGAGTAAAGAAAACTTCACCTAACAGATTGGAGTTTATCCAGTGAGCAAATGAAAATTTTGCAAACAGCATAATTAAAAATATTACATGAAACAAAAAATATTATGGGAAAAAGAAAAACAAAAACCAAACATTAGGGGAAAATGTGCTTAGCAAATAAAAATCCCATTAAATAAACCAAAAAGTAGCATATATTAAGTTGAAGCACGGATATGCTAATTAGAAGCCTAACAGTTGCTCAAAATGATACAGACAGTGTAGTAGGCACAGTGGTATTCCATCCAGCTCTCCCTTTAAGAACCAAGGTAGTTACTTGACCACCTTGTCTGTTGACAGTTGACACCTCCAGTCTCTCTCCAGGAATTGCCCTCAGAAAAGAGAGCTGCTTTGCCCAGGTTAATGTATCCTCTCAAAGGCACACTATCCTCTTTTCTTGGATTCTTGACAGTCTGGAGTCATTCCTGCTCTAGCACTCCCTGTAAGTTCAACCTAGCACACTGTTGTGACTTTTATCTGAGTGCAACTTCTCTCTCTGTCTTACCCTCCTTCTCTCCCTTTTACCTGCACACAGATCTCCACCTCAGAATCTGTTCCAAGGTAGACACATCAAAGACAGAGAAAAAAAAATAAAAACACAAGGACCAGAGAATATTTAAAGATTTCTCTACCTATCTGACTAGCAGTCAGACCAATTCAGTGTAAAATAAATAAGTCTAAGAATCTTAAATTAAATATTAAGTCAGCCACCAAGAGGTGGCATGAGTATAAACAGAATTATTTTGGAAATAAAGTTGAAAATGCTCAGTAAAATTGAAAATGTGCATACACTAAATATCAGCTGATCCACCCATGGTTGAATCCTGGAAACTTCTGCAAAAAATCAGGAAAAAACATGTCTAAGAAAGCTAATTACAGGGACAGGACTATTAGAGCACCTAGGACCAAGTCTTGTCTTCCCTTCCAAACCAGCTACTGCCAGTGAACACCATGGGAAGCAGCAGATGATGCCTCAAGAACTGGGGTCCCTGCCACCCAAATGGGAGACCTGGATGGAGTTCCTGGCTCCAGACTCAAGCTTGGCCCAGCTCTGGCTGTTGCAGACATTTGTGGGAATGAACCAGCATTTGGAGTGTCTCTGTCTTTAAAATAAATAGAAAGAAAAATAAAGCTAATTACAATGTTGTTCCTAACTGTGAAAACCTAGAGAGAATTAAATGTTTACCAATTGATATCCATTTCATATATAAAATGTTTTATATTTTCATATAATAAAATGTCATATGGCAGTTAAAAGGAGTAAATTAGCTTCATATAAATAAAAACATAAATTTCATATAACGTGGAGTGAAAAAGAAATTTGGGGGACAGTGTTGAGGCACAGTGGGATAAGCCATCATTTGTAAGGCTGGTGTCCCATATCTGAGTGCTGGTTTGTGCCCTGGCTGCTCTGCTTCTGATCCTGCTCCCTGCTACCTAGCCTGGAAAGGCAGCAGATGGCCCAAATTCTTGGGCCTTGCTACCCAAATGGGATAGCTAGATGGCATTCCAGGATCCTGGCTTCAGCTTGGACCAGTCATGACTATTCAAGAAGTGAACCAGCAGATGAAAGACCCTTCTTTCTGTCTCTCCCTTCTTCTCTGTCAGTGTCAAATAAGGAATCTCTAAAAACAAACAGGGGCAGTTGTGGGTCAAGCTGCCACCTGCAACACCAGCATCCTATATGGGTGCCAGTTGCCAACTGCTCCACTTCTGATCCAGCTCCCTGCCAATGTGTCTGGGAAAGCAGCAGAAGATGGCCTAAATAACTGAGCTCCTGCACTCACTTGGGAGCCCAGATGGAGTTCCCAGGTCCTGGCTTCGGCTTATGCTAGCCCCAGGTTGTGCTGGCCATTTGGGGAGTGAACCAGCAAATAGAAAAATCAATCTCTTTCTCTAACTCCTTTTCAAGTAAATAAATAATTCTTTAAAAAAACAAAGAAACAAAAGCTTTACCAGGGAAAGAAATTTGACAAATAATACGCCCAACCTATTACCAGTTAAATTTTAAGACACATAAACTAAATGCTATTTATGAACATATAATATAAAAGCACAAAAACATGGGTTAGGTGGTTATACACTAAGTCCATGAGAAAAGTTATCCTGGAGTGAAGGTTGTAAGATGAAACTAAGAGTGAGTACAGAAAGAACATCTACCTTGTTTGTAATATTTTGGTTCCTGAATTTTAAAAATATTTTAAGGAAACAGAAAATATTAATTGTTAATTTCTAGGTGGTAGGTATTCAGGGTTTTTAAAAAGGTAACAGAAGTACTTTTCTGTATTTTTATTCAATTTTTAATAAACAATTTATAAAAATTTTTTGGAAGTATGTCTCAGAGATTAACTCAGAAGAAAATACACATACCATGCTCTCTAATAACCAATAGAAGATGCCCAAAATGTCAGCGATCCAGCCACTAGACAAGGCACCAAGCCAGCCAGTTTTATGGGTGAATTCTACCAAATGTTTCAGAATCGTTCAGTCTGTGAGGATAGCATAAACCTGATATAAAACAGAGTAAGATTATTAGCATTCCAAACGCAGCAGCGGATTACAAGAAAGCTGCACCTTGCTCAAGTAGGTTTATAAACGTGCACTCGAGATTCAGCAACGGGAAGGCAAAAAAAAAGCAACTAAGAAAAATCTTAAGCTCAAAGCTTAACGTTCAGCGTTTAGTTTAGGAAAAAAAAAACCTTAAAATTGGAAATTATGTATTTTTTTCAAATCCTTGCAAACCAGGAATAGTAGAAAATTTCCAAATGTAGAAACATTCACTTCAGCAAAAACAAACAGGATGCCCACTAACAAGTGCTAGCCCACAAAATGGACAAAAAGCGGTGGCAAATATTAATAACTGCCCGCTACATAACTGTTTACTTATAAATTTTAAGAGCTTAACTAAGCAACCAAAATCACCAAGGCCCAAAGAATCGCTCCGCCCCCAGGGCCCCTAGCGGCCCGGCCGCCCTCTCCGGGCCGCTCCCGAGCGCGTGCGCATGCGTGTTCGCGGCGCATGCGCCTGGAGCGGAGAGGAGGAAGATGGCGGCGGCAAGCTTCCCCACCCCGCTGTATGGCCACGTGGGTCACGGGGCCTTTAGCGACGTGTACGAGCCCGCGGAGGACACATTCCTGCTGCTGGATGCGCTCGAGGCGGCTGCAGCCGAGCTGGCGCGGTGCGAGAAGGGCTCGGGCCCCGGCGGGAGCGGGCTTGGATGTCCTGGGGCGCTGGCGGCAGACGGCCAGAGAGAGGACGCGGTGTGGATGCACCTGCCGTTGATTGACGGCAGAGGGCGGAAGTGAGAATTGTGCTAAGGAGACCGAGGTGCTGCTCTGGGCTTTTGAGCTCCCGGTGCCTTCTCCATGGCTTGCTGTCCTTTTACATTTGAGCTGTAGTCTGCAGAACACAGACCCTTGTGGGCGGTGATAGTATCATGCATTGAGAAGAACAAAAGTCCGAAACATCGCCGCTTAACAATTTTTTTTTTTACTTTTTTAAAATTAAAAAATACTTTTTAGTAGCTGTTAAAAGTGGCGTGGCATTGAGTTACTTAGCACATGAAGATCACCCTCTAGCAATGGCAGGGCACAAAAGTAAAGGAAGGTCTTGAGATACTGGAGTAGGAAGGCATTTTTAAATCCACTCTAGCTCTGTAGCTGAGCAGTTGCAATGCGGCTAAGGCAACTGAGGCCCTAAATTTTTCATTTAGTCAAAATTTAGTTACATGCAGCATCTTATGACCATTAAAACTGCTTTGTTGAAGTGAATGTCATAAAGTTTAAATTCATAACATTAAAAAATTACCTACATTATGATTTTTTAATTTAAGGAATTTGTGTTTTTAGATTTATTTAAAGATCAAAACTGGGTTTTCTCAGGGTGAAACGAACAGCTGTTAAGTTTCAGAGATTACATTGTATTTACTTGTCCCTCTTAAAATTGGTCATATTTTTCTATGTGTAAACCCAAACTCTTTTTAAACAAGCTTTTCATTGTAGACTTTGGAGGTTTGGGATTTACTGGACTGTAGAGTGGAGCATGCCATTTATACAAGTACAAATTGTGTTGCAAAATGTGCTGTGAAAAGAGCTGATTTTGTTATGTTACAGGTCTTGTATATTTCCAGTCTTGGAATTCTAATTAGGACACCATGGTAGTTGATTTTAAAAGAGAAACCACCTAGTAAGGGTCACAGAACTTATTGTAGCACATTAAAGGCTTGTCAGATGTGTGGATAGGCTCCAAACTTAGAAAACTCTGCAGTTTTTTGTTGGGTAGTTTTCTGGAAAGTTAAGTGCTAGCAAATGCTGTGAAACTGATCCTTGTAGCGAGATAATTGGTGCTTTTGGGCATGGATATGATTGTAGGCAAGGAAATTATTTTACTAAGGGTAAAATGTTAATAGAGTGAAGATTTTATATTTAACAACATTCTAAGATTATTATTCTAAGATTAGATACTCAGGTATTTTTATAGTTCTGCATATAAGCTGTACAAATATAGAATTTCTTTGCTGCTCTAGCTCTATTATCAGTAAAATGAGGGGCCTGTTTACCTTAGGATATGCTGCTGGGTTTATTAATGCTAGCTACTCAAAAATGATAGATACTTCTTTTGTTAGTAACCCTTTCAGAAGGTAGCTAAAACTAGGAGCTCCTTGTGGGAATGGATAATGTCTTTCGTATCATTTCCAACCCTAGATTAACATTATTCCATACTTTTTATGTGATGTTGAAATTACTATATGGGGCCTGCATTGTGGCATAGTGGGTAAAGCCGCCACCTGGGGTGCGGCACCAGTTCCAGTCCCACTGCTCTACTTCCAATCCAGCTATCTGCCATGGCCTGGGAAAGCAGTGGAGGATGACCCAAGTCCTTAGGCCCCTGCACCCACGTGGGAGACCCAGAGGAAGCTCCTGGCTCCTGGCTTCAGATCAGCACAGCTCTGGCCATTGCAGCCAACTGGGGAGTGAACCAGCGGATAGAAGACCTCTCTCTGCCTCTCCTTCTCTCTCTCTGTAACTCTCTCAAGTATATAAATAAATCTTTAAAAAAAAAAAAAGGAAATTAGTATAAAGCCACTCATTATGATATAGAACTATTTTGATCCTGCTCCCTGCAAATGCACCTGGGAAAGCAGCAGAAGGTGGCCCAAGTGCTTGGGCCTCTGCCATCCATGTTATAGACTCAGATGGAGTTCCAGACTCCTGGCTTCCACCTGGCCCAGCCCCGGCCATTTGGGAAATGAACTAGTAGACGGTTCGATTGATCTCGATCTCTATTTCTAACTCTACTTTTCAAATAAATAAATCTTTTTTTTTTTTAAGAATTAAGCAGGGGCTGGCACTATGAGCAGTGGATGAGGCTGCCGCCTGTAGTGCCAAGATCACATGTGGGCACTGGTTCCAGTCCTGGCTACTCCACTTCCAATCCAGCTCTCTGGTATGGCCTGGGAAAGCAGTAGAAGACAGCCCAAGTTGTTGGGCCCCTGCACCTGCGTGGGAGACACAGCAGAAGCTCCTGGCTCCTGGCTTCGGATTGGCGCAGCTCTGGCCCTTGTGGCCAATTGGGGAGTGATGGAAAACCTTGCTGCCTATCCTTTTCTCTCTCTGCCTCTCCTTCTCTCTCTGTGTAACTCTGACTTTCAAATAAATAAATAAATCTTAAAAAGAAAAGAGAATTAAGTAGAACGGGCCATCAAAGAAGGAGGTACCTTTCTCTGAAGGGAGGAGAAAACTTCCACTTTGACTATGGCCTTGTCTAAATAAGATCAGAGTCAGTGAGCTCAAGAGGCTTCCATAGCCTTGGCAGCTCATGGCAAGAGCCTAGGGTGATTACTGATGCCATAAACAAGAGTGTCAATTGTTAAATCAACAATGGGAGTCACTCTGCACTTACTCCCCATGTAGGATCTCTGTCCTTAATGTGTTGTACTATGTGAATTAACTGCATAACTAGTACTCAAACAGTACTTTATACTTTGTGTTTCTGTGTGGTTCCAGTCTGTTGAAAACTTTACTTAGTATATACTAAATTGATCTTCTGCATAAAAAGATAATTGAAAATGAATCTTGATGAATGGGATGGGAGAGGGAGTGGGAAATGGGATGGGTGTGGGCAGGAGGGGGGCTATGGGAGGAAAAAGCTGCTATAACCCAAAAGTTGTACTTTCAAAATTTATATTTATTAAATAAAAGTTTAAAAAAAAAGAATTAAGCAATGTTAAGCACAAAATGGTTGTCATAAATTTTTGCATAATATTTGCAGAGGAGTGGTGTTACTGGAGAAATATACACTATAACTAACAGAATAATTTTCTGTGGCTTGTGTTTTAATACCAATGTACTAATATTTTATTGTGGTTTATTTTTAGTGTGGAAATATGCCTGGAAGTAGGGTCCGGGTCTGGTGTGGTGTCTGCATTCCTGGCCTCTCTGATAGGTCCTCAGGCTCTGTACATGTAAGTAAGTGTACCAGGGTCATCCAGATCTTCCACTTTGAGTATGACTGCTTACGTGAAATAATTTTTGTAAGCATGCAATAATAAGGACCCAAATTGCAAATTATGCTTCTCTAGAAATTATAACTTCATGTTCAAAACTGTTCCATCATACTACATAATTGTAGAAGTAGCATAATTTTAAGTCATCTTGAGGCTGGTGTTGTGGCGTAGCAGGTAAAGCTGACGCCTGCAGTGCCTGCATCCCATATGGACACTGGTTGGAGTACCGGCTGCTCCACTTCTGATCCAGCTCCCTGCTGATGTGCCTGGGAAAAGACTGAAGGGTGGTCCAAGTGCTTGGCCCCCTGCACCCATGTGGGAGACCCAGAGGAAGCTCCTGGATCCTGGATTTGGCCTGGCCAGGCCCCAGCCATTGAGGCCTTTTGGGGAGTGAACCAGCAAATGGAAGATCTTTTTCTCTCTGTCTCTCTTCCTCTCTCTGTAATTCTGCCTTTCAGATAAACTAAAAAATAAATAAATATTAACAAAAGAATTCATTTTGAATTTTAATTTGGTGGCTTCATAGTACTCCTTCATTGAACATATCATGATTTTAGAAATCCTTTCAGATATGGGTGTGCATGTATATATTCTCTCACACATAAATTATATTAGTATAACAGTCTTTTTTTAAGATTTATTTATTTTATTTGGAAGGCAGAGTTGGAGAGAGAGAGGGAGAGACATAGAGAGAGAGAATCTTCCATCCACTGGTTCACTCCCCAAATGGCAAGAAAGGCCAGAACTGGGCCCATCTGAAGCCAGGAGCCAGGAGCTTCTTTCAGGTCTCCCATGTGGGTACAGGGGCCCAAGTGCTTTGTCCATCTTCTGCTGCTTTCCCAGGCACATTAGCAGGAAGCTGGATCAGAATTGGAGCAGCCAGAACTCAAACTGGTGACCATATGGGAGGCTGGCATTGCAGCACCTGCTATCCCACAGCTGTTTCCATCAGTAATAAATCAGTTCTCTTTTTCTTTGCCACTGTTAAAGCATTCTGACTTTTCCCCCAGATCTGTTCTGTTTGGAATTAATAGAATGCTGTTTGAGTTAGTTAACAGCTTAATTTTCTTCCTTTTCTACAGGTGCACTGACATCAACCCTGAGGCAGCAGCTTGTACACTGGAGACAGCACGTTGTAACCAAGTTCATATTCAACCAATAATTACAGATTTGGTGAGCTACTAATTTTTGTCCAATAATAATCAATTTATCCCTCAGATAAGTTAAGGCGAAGAGATTTTAGGTCAAAGAAACTTTAGTAATGATTTAATTAGCTCCTGACCCATTAAACAGGATATTATTTACAAAGTAAATTCTTGATTAATATAATCTTTCCACAGTTTAGAGGGAATATGTATGGACTCATGTAAATCAGACATCTTTTAGTCAGAATTGATAGTTAATTGATTCAAATTGTCTTAAATTTTAAAAATGGATGGTTTTAGACACAGCTGGCTCCAGGAACACAAATGATATTACAGATATCTTTCTCTTGGCTCTGAGCCTCTCTCTGGTGTTTCATTCACATCATCATAGCATGTTTGCATGTCTGTATCCTATTTTGCAGCAACTCTTCAAGCAAATAAACCTTTTCTATTCTGTTATTCTAGCAAAAGACCCAGGATGAGTATTTTGGATCAAATTGATTCATAGGCCAATCTCAGTCTCTTGCCAAGGAGGATTAGAGTATGGAGATCATTGACTTTTACCTGAGTCATAGTTCTACCTCAGAAGCTTGGTCAGAATAGACCATATCTAAACCAATTGTGTGAAAAATAACTCATAGAGGGCTGGTGCTGTGGCACAGTGGATTAATCCTCCACCTGTGGTGCCGGCATCCCATATGGGCACTGGTTCTAGTCCCGGCTGCTCCACTTCCAATCCAGCTATCTGCTATGGCCTGGGAAAGCAGTGGAGGATGGCCCAGGTGTTTGGGCCCCTGCACCCTAGTGGGAGACCTGGAGGAAGCTCCTGGTTCTGGCTTTGGATCAGCTCAGCTGTGGCTGTAGCAGCTGATTGGGAGTGAACCGGTGAATGGAAGATATATCTCTTTGCCTCTCCCTCTCAGTGTCTGTAACTCTTCCTCTCAAATAAATAAATGAAATATTTTTTAAAAAAAGAATAACTCTTGAGGGGTAGGCATCATGGTGCAGCAGATAAGGCTCCACTTGGGATTCCTGCGTTCCATATTGGAGGATGATTCAAGTCCCAGCTACTCTGCTGCTGATCCAGCTTTCTACGGATGTATCTGGGAAGGGAGTGGATGATGGCCCAGGTACTTGGGTTCATGCAAACCATGTGAGAGACCAGGATGGAGTTACTGGCTGCTGGCTTCAGGCTGGCCCAGCTGTCTCTCTTGTGGGCATTTGGGGAGTGAACTAGTGAATGGAAGATCATTCTCTTTCTGTGTCTCTTCCTCTCTCTGTCACTCTGCCTTTCAAATAAATAAATAAGTCTTTAAATAAATAGATTAAAGAATGGCAGGTGATAGAGCTTCCCCAACAAAAGTCTAGGAGACTGAATCAGAAGAAAGGGAGAAAAGTGCCAAATGACAACTACAGAACACTGTTGTATTTTAAGACGTTAGCATCATACATTTTAAGAAGTTAACGTCAAGTTTTCTTGCTAAAATATTTTAAGATTAAATTAGTGAGGACTTGAATATTTTAAATTTATGAGTGTTCTTTTTTAGTCATAAATTTGAAATGCATTTTTCTAAGTAAAAATTGTGGTAGCACACATCAGCTAAACATAAGAAATACAAACTGCTTTCTGTCCCTCTTGACTTGCATTATTCTTTCTCTACTGAGGGTAAGTGGCTTTCCTGCTTTTTAAAACTTAGAAATGAGGCTGGGCATTATGGTGCAGTGGGTTAAGCTGCTACTTGGGATACCTGCATCCTATATCAGAGTGCCTGTTCCAGTCCCAGCTGTGCCACTTCCAATCCAGCTTCCTGCTAATGCATCCTGGGAAGCATTGGATTATGATTCAAGTGCTCAGGTCCCTGCCACCCAAATGGGAGCCCCAGGTAGAGTTCCTGGCTCTTGGCTCAGCCCTAGCTGTTGCAGGCATTTGGGGAGTGAACCAGTGGATTATTATCACTCTCCCACCTCATCTCTTTCTCTCACTCTTTCTCGCCTTTCAAGTAGATGAAAATATTTTTTTTCAAAGATTTATTTATTTTATTCAAAAGTCAGAGTTACACAGAGAGTGAAAGAGAAGCAGAGAGAGAGAGAGAGAGAGGTCTTTCCATCTGCTGGTTCACCCCCCAGGTGGCCGCAAGGGCCAGAGCTGTGCCAATCTGAAGCCAGGAGCCAGGAGCTTCCTCTGGAGGTGGCGGCCCCGATGAAAAATATTAAAAATATATATATATAGTGGCCGGTGCTGTGGTGTAGTAGGTAAAGCTGCCACCTGCAGTGTTGGCATCCCATGTGGGCGCCAGTTCGAGTCCCAGCTGTTCCACTTCTGATCCAGCTCTCTGCTATGGTCTGGGAAAGCATTAGAAGATGGCCCAGATCCTTGGGCCCCTGCACCTGTGCGGAAAGACCCAGAGGAAGCTCCTGGCTCCTGGGTTTGGATCTGCTCAGCTCGGGCCATTGCAGCCAATTGGGGAGTGAACCAACAAATGGAAGACCTTTCTCTCTGCCTCTCCTTCTCTCTCTGTGTAACTCTTTCAAATAAATAAATAAATCTTTAAAAAAAAAAATAAAATTCACAAATGATTTTGTAGCTTAAAAGTAATTAAGGAGATAAATTATTTTACTAAGAGTTTTTATTACTCATAAAAAACTTGAGTATCAAAAAAGGAACTCAAATGATTTACATGTGACCAGTTTGGTGATTTGAAAAAATTGTTCACTTTAATATGTCTATACTTAGTATTATTGAAGTATAACTTTACAGATACAAGAAATTTAGGATATCTTTTTTACAGGTGTGAAAACTGAAGATGGCTTTTTGAAAGTTACATAGTTGATAAAATGTTAAATCCAGGGTTTAAGCCTGTATCTTCTGATTCCAAAGCTAGAAGTCCCACAGCTGTTCTAGGACATTCCAGAATCAGTCCTTCAGTACTTCAGTAGTTAAAGTTAACCATGACAGTGAACATTGACTTTTTTTTTTTTTTTTTTTTTTTTTTTTGACAGGCAGAGTGGATAGTGAGAGAGAGAATCAGAGAGAAAGGTCTTCCTTTCTGCCATTGGTTCACCCTCCAATGGCCGCCGCGGCCGGCGCACCGCGCTGATCCGATGGCAGGAGCCAGGTACTTATCCTGGTCTCCCATGGGGTGCAGGGCCCAAGCACTTGGGCCATCCTCCACTGCACTCTCTGGCCACAGCTTTTGACAAAGAAATAAGCAGTAGATAGACATGAGCAAGGATATTATGGTCAGTTTACAAATTCGTTGCATCTGCCTTCATACAAAACACTGGCATCAGCTCCCACATTCATATAAAATATAATCTGTTTTGGATAGCTGACTTTACCTGTTTACAAAATAGCATTTGCGTTGCATTGCATTTCTAGCTTTAAATGTTTATGTATTTTAGAGTCAGAGAGCACCTCCATCTAATGATTTAATCCCAAAACGTCCACAATGGCCAGGGATGAGCCAGGCCAACGCTGAGAGCTGGGAGCTCAATCCAGGTATCTCAAATGGGTGTCAGTGATTCAACTACTGTAATCATCACCTGCTGCCTCCCAAGGTCTGAATTAGCAGGAAGCTGGAATCTGGAGTGGAGTTGGGACTCGAACGCTAGCAACTCCAATATGGGATGTGGGTCTGCCACTGTTCCCGTTGATAGAACTTCCTCTCCCCTTTTCCCATGTGCTTTGTGCCAGAAAATCAGATAGCCAATCAAGTTAGACTTCTGTGTAAACTAAGATTTAAGGGGCTATGAATAAGTGCCTTCCATATGAATAAAGTCTGTGTGTTTTGCTGTATGGGTTTAAGACTTCTCATCAGAGGCCTCTTTTACTTACTGCTAGGTTCTTGGATATATTCCAGGACTGTAAGACCATCCAAACACTGAGTATGAATGTGAGGGATGCCTGTACCCAGACTTTATATCCAGCCTATAGTGACTTAACCCCAAGATTTTCTGTGTTTATAATATCAATTTTCTTATTTAAAATCTGGTACTGCAGTGATAATTAGTATATAGTACCTCAGAGACCATCATATAATTGCAAATCAACTTATTTTATAATTTCCTTATCATGTTTGGAAAATTAACATTTTAGGGTTTTTTATAGTTTGAAAAAGTTAATTGCTTTATGGAATCGAAAGAAAGCTTTTGGTTATTTCCAATGTATTTCCTCACTCCAGTGTTATTCCTGGGGAGGACAACAGATTAGTCATCTTTCAACTTGGAAACAAGGCAGCATCTGAATTACTGTTCCCAAAAATGGTGATCTTTTTTCTTTTTAAATAAGTGAAGAAAATAAAGTTACTTTTATAAACATCTCTTCAAAAGTACTACTTATGTGTTCTCTTTAAACTACGTAATTACAACAGACTTATTTCGAAGATAAAAATGGATGGCTTGTAGAAACCCATGTATAAAATCAAAATCCAAAGACATCATTTCATAAAAATGTGTAAGTAACCCAGTGGTTTGACATAGTATGAATAGGTATCAGACAGCTTAGAGTCACATTCTGGTCACTAAGGAGAGGGTGTTGGCTAGGTGCTTTTAATATATTTTAATGCTTAAAATGACCTTTTCCAACTAGAGGATAGGCATAGGTTACTGACGCTGACAACAGTTAATATAGCAATGTTTTTTACTTGTGTATGTTTTTATTTTTGTTATTTGAAAGGCAGAGTAACAGAGAAAGAGAGATCACCCCTTTGTTGGTTTGTTCCCCAAATGGCCCAAATGTCCATAACAGCTGGGATGGATCAGGCTGAAGCCAGGAGCCAGGAACTCCATCCAGGTCTCTCATGTGGGTGGCAGGAGGTTGAGTACTTGGGCTATTGTCTCTGCTTCCCAGCCTGATTAACAGGGAGCTGGATCAGGAAAGTGGGGTAGCTGGGACTTGAACCCACACTCCCATTTGAGATGCTGGGCTACTGACCAACAGCTTAATTCTCTGTACCACAGATCCCACCCCTGCACATATTCTTACAGCAATTTCTAGTTCTAGTATGTAACACAGGCTGGGGATCTCTTCCCTGAAATGCGTAGGACCAGGAGTGTTTTATTTTGGAATATTTTCATGTACATAATGAGATACCTTGTGGATGAGACTCAAGTCTAAAGATTTACATTTCATGTACACCTTATGCACATAGCCTGAAGGCAGTGCTATACAATACTTTTAATAATTTTGTGCATGAAACAAAGTTTCATGGTATGGAATTTTCTACTTGTGATGTCATATTGGTGTTCACAAGGTTATAAATTTCATATTTACAGATTAGCAATGTTCAACCTGTACTGATCTTCCATTTTCTGATAGTAAAACAGAGTTTCCTTTTCCAAAGTTTATTTAACAAAAAGAGGCTATTTAAAGAAAAATATCCAGCAAATAATTGTAGGTATTTGTGCAGATATGGGAAAAAATGTGAGAATGTTAATAAAATACAGTTTTGGAATTGCTTTGAGATACTTCAGTTATAAATACTTCATCTCAAGAAACAGGCTTAGAATTCTTGTCAGGACAAAGTGATAATTGAAGGAAATGGTTTGTGGATCAGGGAATAGGAGGTGTGAAAACTCATCCAGATACAGGGTTTTACTTGACCCTGCCTGTGAAGGCGTAAAATAATCCAATCAAGCAGTTTTTTCAGTCAGAGGAATTCTTTCAATGACCATTTGCCCTAACTGCTTTCTTCAAAAATATATTTTCTTCTTGTTTTATATAACATTGCACCCAGCATAAAGATTTTCAAAATACCAGTTGTTATTTTCAGTATCTTTTGCCACTGTTTTCAACTCTTTCTTTCAAATCTGATTCTTTCAGCCAATACATTAACAAGTAACTGAAGAAGTAGAAAGCAGAAAATTTCATCTTTTAATGTTTCTTTATGCAGATATGTCTTCTGCCATTTCATAAAACATTTCTTTTGGTTATAGAAAAGTAAATGTTTAAGTTAGCAGATGTAGCTGTAAAGTTGTGTTATATGTGTAACATACAAAACTGATTCTTGTTAAATACATTTAGGTCAAAGGCTTGCTACCGAGATTGAAGGGAAAAGTTGATCTCCTAGTATTTAATCCTCCCTATGTGGTGACTCCACCCGAAGAGGTAAGACTTACAACAGATTTAGTTAGCAAGAATTTTGGCTGTTTTGTTTCTCAAATCAAATGAACTTACCGTATGACATCAGTCAGCTACTGCTAACATAAGGTATCTGATTTTACTCCTAGTTATCCATAATGGGATACTATTGGTAGACAAGGGAAACTGATGGAATTACAAATTTACATCTGTCCTAAAATCTCAATCCAAAGCAAACCATGGTGTTTAATTCATCTATTCATTGTGTGTGTGTGTGTGTGAATATATATGCTATGTATATGTTTTTTTCTTTTTTTAACTTTTATTTAGTAAATATAAATTTCTAAAGTACAGTTTATGGATTACAATGGCTCCCCCCCCATAACTTCCCTCCCACTCGCACCCCTCCCATCTCCCGCTCCCTCTCCCATTCCATTCATATCAAGATTCATTTTCAATTATCTTTATATACAGAAGATCGATTCTGTATATATTAAGTAAAGATTTCATCAGTTTGCACCCACACAGAAACACAAAGTGTAAAATACTGATTCAGTACTAGTTATAGCATTACTTCACATTGGACGACACATTAAGGACAGATCCCACATGAGGAGTAAGTACACAGTGACTCCTGTTGTTGACTTAACAATTTGACACTCTTGTTTATGGTGTCAGTAATCTCCCTAGGCTCTAGTCATGAGTTGCCAAGGCTATGGAAGCCTTTTGAGTTCGCTATGTATATGTTATATAGTGTCTCTCTCTCTTTTTTTTTCCTTCAGTTTTTAGTTTCTGAGAGGCAGAGAAAGACTTTCCATCTACTGGTTCATTCCCTGAATGCCTGCTACTGTCAGGTCTGGACCAGGTGAAAGCCAGGAGCTAGGAACTCAGTCCAAGTCTCCCAGGTGGATGTCAGGGACCCAAGTACTTTATTCATCACCACTGCTTCCCGGGGTCTTCACTGGCACAAAGCTAGAATTAGGAACAGAGCTGGGACTTGTACCCAGACACTTTGATATAGGATAACAACATCATAATCCAGCATCTTAACTGCAAGGCCAAATACCCAACCCTGTTACATGTTCTTTTTTTTTTTTTTTTTTTTTTAAGATTTATTTAATTATTTGAAAGGCAGAGTTGTAAGGCCGGCGCTGTGGTGCTGTGGCTCACTAGGCTAATCCTCCGCCTTGCGGCGCCGGCACACCGGGTTCTAGTCCCGGTCGGGGCGCCGGATTCTGTCCCGGTTGCCCCTCTTCCAGGCCAGCTCTCTGCTGTGGCCAGGGAGTGCAGTGGAGGATGGCCCAAGTGCTTGGGCCCTGCACCCCATGGGAGACCAGGAGAAGCACCTGGCTCCTGCCTTTGGATCAGCGCAGTGCGCCGGCCACAGCACGCCGGCTGCGGCGGCCATTGGAGGGTGAACCAATGGCAAAAGGAAGACCTTTCTCTCTGCTTCTCTCTATCACTGTCCACTCTGCCTGTTAAAAAAAAAAAAAAGAAAGAAAGAAAGGCAGAGTTATAGAGAGGCAGAGAAAGAGAAGTCTTCCATCCGTTGGTTCACTCCCCAAATGGCAGCAACAGCCAGAGGTAGGCCAGAGCTGAGCCAGGAGCTTCTTCTGAGTCTCCCACGTGAGTGCAGGGGTCCAAGGACTTGGGTCATCTTCTACTGCTTTCCCAGGCCACAGCAGAGAGCTGGATCAGAAGTGGAGCACCAGGAATCGAATCGGCATTTGGGATGCCGGCACTGCAGGCGGCAGATTTATCCACTACGCTACAGCGCCAGGCCCTATATATTCTTTATGGTGAATAACAAATTTGTGAAACAGAATTTCTTAGCCTTAAATTCACACAGGAAATCCTTCTGAAAGTCTCATATTTCCTCCTTTCACAAATATTACCAGAAAGGAAAACTTACCTCAGGCTCAAGAAAGATAAATAATCTTTTTTTTAATATTTATTTTTTTTGACAGGGAGAGTCAGAGAAAGAGAGAGAGAGAGATAGACGTTTCATCAGAGAGAGAGAGAGAGAGAGAGAGAGAGAGATCTTCCATCTTCTGGTTCACACCCCAAATGGCCACAATGGCTGGAACTAAGTCGCTAGGCCAGACTGAAGCCGGGTGCTGGAATTCCGTTTGGGTCTTACATGCATGGCAGGGACCCGAGCACTGGGCCATCTGCTGCTGCCTTCCCAGGTGCATTAGAAGGCAGGTGGATCAGAAGCAGAGCAGCTGGGACCCAAACTGGCACTGTGATACTGGATGCCAACATAAAATTGGCAGCTTAGCCTGCTGTACCATAACGTGAGCCCCCTAAAATAAATAATCTTGAAATGCATGATTTTTTATAATTTTAGTAATTAAGAATCAAACCAAATTAATTTTTTCCCAGGAAAATGGTTAAGGCAGACAAATTTTAATAATGGACTAGGACTGGCTTTCCTTTAATTATTGTACCTGTTTTATTCTTTCATGATTATTCTCTGCCAAGGCTAACAAATGGTACATTCACCTCTAATCCAAGATGGGGAAGGTCCATTTGGCTGCTATTACTGCTGAGGACGGGTAAGCAACCAGAAAGTTGTTGCTATTCTGACACCTGAACTCAGGTGAGAAGTATCACAAGGTAAGAGAGGAGGAGGGAATTGAAACTTTCTTTTTTAAAGAATTATTTTAGGGGGATGGCGCTGTGGCGCAGTGGGTTAACGTCCTGGCCTGAAACACCAGCATCCCATATGGGCACTGGTTCAAGACCCGGCTGCTCCACTTCCGATCCAGCTCTCTGCTATGGCCTGGGAAAAGCAGCAGAGGGTGGGCCAAGTCCTTTGGCCCCTGCACCCACATGGAGACCCAGAAGAAGCTCTTGGCTCCTGGCTTTGGATCGGCATAGGAGAGGAGCAGCCGGGACTCAAATTGGTGCACATATGGGATGCCGGCACTGCAGGCTGGGACTTTAACCCACTGCGCCACAGCGCTAGCCCCAGGGAATTGAAGCATAAAACTCTTTAGACAAGCACTGTTGGAGTAAATCTCAAGAGTGACAAAAGTGACCAGTATTGCGGTATTGTGGGTTAAGCCACTGCCTGCAGTGCCAGAGTTGCCTGTTGCCAGCTGCTTCACTTCTTTTCCAGCTCCCTATTAATGAGCAGTGTAAGATGGCCCAAGTGCTTAGGTCCTTGTCACCCATGTGAGAGACCCGGATGAAGCTCCTGGTTCCTTGCTTGAGCCTGGCACAGCCCTGGTCATTGCAGCCATATGGAGTCAATGAGCAGATGGAAGATCTCTGTCTCCTTCTCTCTTTCTATAACTCTGCCTTTCAAATGAATGTATCCTAAAAAAGAAAAAGTGACAAAAATATTTCATTCTAATAATCTCAGTCATTGAGAGCTAATTTAAGAAAGCCATTCAATAATAGCATAAAAATTGGAACTCACAAAATTTATTTATTTGCATATTCATTTGTGACAGCAAATAATTTGAGCCTAGTTATATAACAGGAAAGAAAACAATAAATAATGGTCTATTATTTCTACAAACTACTGGGAAGACTTATGGATGAAGAAGAGACTCTGGGAACATGGTGACTCCACTGGCCTTCCCTTCTCTACCCCCTCTCCTGGTGCTAAGCTGTGTGCTTCTTCTGATCTTTCCAGCTGCTGAGACATACAGATGTTTTGAGTGTAGGCCATGCCTTGAGCTCTTTTGTAGTCCCAGCAAACAAAACTAGTGTCGCAATCCCCATGAGCTGAGCAATTAGTTAAAAGAGTAGGATCAAAATATAGCACAACATAGCTATCCTGGAGCTTAAAAACATGTTTTATACAGTAAAACAATAGGAAGTAAATTAAAACAGGATATGGTCACTGTCAAGACCTAAATCATTGGTCTGGAAACCAAATGGAAATATGAGGGTATTTCAAAAAGTTCATGGATAAACAGAATTGAAAGGTAAGTTTAGGTATAGACATTTGGCCTAACAGTTAAGATGTCTGTGTCCCATAGAGGGGCTCCTGGGTTTGCTACTCACCTCTGGCACCTGACTCCAGTTTCCTGCAAATGGAACCCTGGAAGGCAGTGGTGATGGATCAAGTAATTCTATTCTTGCCACTGACATGGAGGACTTGGATTGAGTTCCTAGCTCCTAGACTGGGCCCTAGACCAGCCCCAGCCTTCCTGGGGCACTTGGGGAGTGAAGCACCAGATCAAAGATTTCTCCATCTTTCTCTTTCTCTTTCTGCCAAAGTTTATTTACATGAAAGATATTTTTGACATCATGTATAATTTTTTCATAATACACATTTTCCATGTACTTTTTGAAGATGTCTTACAGAGAACAAAGGTAAAAGCTAACAGACTTAGTGATTAGAACCAGAGACATCATATACAAATAATTGAAATTAGTGTTTATAAAAAATGGTAGTTGCACTTACTAGTGTATCCAGAAACACGAAGTAAGGTGCTGTGGCTTGCACCTTTGGTCTCTGAGAATCAGGAGAGGACACAGCAGTTGGCTCAGGCAGCAGACAAGCAGAAGGCCAACAGACATGACTGCTCCCTCGTGAGGATCGAAACCTCCCTTCTGTGGCCTAGAGGAATGTGCTTGGTGCCACAGTGATCTCATTGTAGGGTCACCTCCAGTGCAAGCAGATAGAATGCCTGAGCGTCCTAGGGTGGTCATACCACAGAGGGATCCCACTTCATGTTGCTGCAGTGACAAGAGGCAGGCTTGGCAGAGGATGTCAGCTCTGTGCACGCTGCCCAAAGATCATCTTACCTGACAAAATATCCAGAGTGGGTACCACCAAAACAAGGGAAAAGGAAAATAGCAGTCTCAGAAAAAGAGGGGGCTGAACCCCTGAGAAAAGCAAAAGGAATGGCAGGAAAAAGGAAACCCTGATGAAAACCAGAGAAACTGACACATTTCCTAATATGATTTACTTTTTGGAAATTTATATTGAGAAGTTTATGATGGGTGTGGGAATAACATAAATTAGATTCCAAGAAAATTGGGCAAATAGTGTCCATCAATAACTATGTTGGATATACAAAATACAGGGTATAGCATAAAATGTTACACAGCTATTAAAATAATGAATTGAAACTATACTAGATGACATGAAGAGATTTCTGGAAGGTATTGTTGAATGAGAAAATTAAGATGAGGTAAAGGGGCCGGCACCGTGGCTCACTTGGTTAAACTTCCGCCTACGGTGCCGGCATCCCATATGGGCGCCGGGTTTTAGTCCTGGTTGCTCCTCTTCCAGTCCAGCTCTCTGCTGTGGCCCAGGAGGGCAGTGGAGGATGGCCCAAGTGCTTGGGCCCCTGTACCCGCATGGGAGACCAGGAAGAAGCACCTGGCTCCTGGCTTCAGATCGGCGCAGCGCCGGCCTTAGTGGCCATTTGGGGGATGAACCAACAGAAGGAAGACCTTTCTCTCTGTCTCTCTCTCTCCCTGTCTATAATTCTACCTGTCAAATAAAAAAAAAAAAAAGATGAGGTAAAAATATAGAATATAATAATTTCTTTGTAAAACAGGGACAAAAGGAAAAATCCCTATTTGTAGAAGATGGGAAAGGGGCAGGGAAGCAAAACAGGAAAAGGAAAAAGTGCACCTTTTTTAAAGGAGGTGTATAACTTCTCCTCTTTGTAAAATTATATATGTATGGTTATGGATAAAAGAATTTTTAATGAGGAAATATGTCATATTACATGAATAATATCAGAAGGCATATGATTACATATAAAGTAGGGACAAGTACAGGGCTGGCATCTCATGTGGGTGTTTGTTCCTGTCATGGTTGTGCCACTTCCTATCTAGCTCCCTGCTGGTGGCCTGGGAAAAGCAGTGGAAGATGACCCGAGTTCTTAGGCCCCTGCACTATATAGGAGAACCGGAAGAAGCTCCTGGCTCCAGGCTTCAGATTGGCCATTGCAGCCATGTGGAGAGTGAACCAGTTAATGGAAGACCTTTATCTCTGTCTCTCCCTCTCTATCTGTACCTCTACCTCTCAAATAAATAAATAAAATCTGTGAAACAAGAAAATACAGAAAAGAGAGAGAGAATTTCCCATCCTCTGGTTCACGCCCCAAATGGCCACAATGGCCAGGGTTGGGCCAAACCGAAGCCAGCAGCCAGGAGCTTCTTCTGGATTCCCACGTGGGTGTAGGGGCCCAAGCACTTGGACCATCTTCCACTGCTTTCTCAGGGAGCTGGATTGGAAGTGGAGCAGTCAGGACTCGAACTGCGCCCATATGAGATGCTGGCCCCACAGACAGTGGCTTAACACACTGTTCTACAGTGCCGGCCCTAGAACTATTATTTTCTAATTCACAAAGACTACTAACTTACTCACAGTCACATAAACTAGGAAATGGCAGAACTTAGATTCAAGTTTACTGCCTCTTTGTCAACACTACAAAATATATACTTGTTTGGTGATGTTACTTGTCAAAAAGATTCAGTTTGTGATCTAAACGGAACTTGACTAGATTCAAATAAAACAGTCTTTCTAATTGGTCGCAGGTAGGAAGTCATGGAATACAGGCAGCATGGGCTGGTGGCAGAAATGGCCGAGAAGTCATGGACAGAGTTTTCCCCCTAGTTACAGAGCTGCTGTCCCCAAGAGGATTATTCTACTTGGTTACCATAAAAGAAAATAATCCAGGTAATACAAGATAGTTTATTGTTTAACTATTTGTGTGTGTGCCTTTTTTAAATTTTATTTAAGTTATACAAGTTTCATGTTATTGTTTATTTATTTTGCTAAAATCAGAGGGTAATAATATAGGCAACTATAATTTACAAAGTAACCTGGGATAGTAATATATTTAATCACTGACAACAGCTAATAGACATAAATCCATGTTAAAGGAGGAGTTTCTTTTTTTAAAAAAGATTTATTTCTTGGGGCCGGCGCTGTGGCACAAGCGGGTTAACGCCCTGGCCTGAAGCGCCGGTATCCCATATGGACGCCGGTTTGAGTCCCGGCTGCTCCACTTCTGATCCAGCTCTCTGCTATGGCCTGAGAAAGCAGTAGAAGATGGCCCAAGTGCTTGGGCCCCTGCCACTCGTGTGGGAGACCCGGAAGAAGCTCCTGGCTCCTGGCTTCGCATGGGCGGAGCTCCAGCTGTTGCAGCCATCTGGGGAGTGAACCAGCGGATGGAGGATCTCTCTCTCTCTCTCTCCGTCTGCCTCTGCTTCTCTCTCTGTGTAACTGTGACTTTCAAATAAATAAATCTTTAAAAAAAAAAAAAAGATTCATTTCTTTGAAAGGCAGGGTTACAGAGAGGTAGAAAGAGAGAGAGAGAGCGCTTCCTTGCACTGGTTCACTCTCCAGATGGCCACAGTGGCTGTAGCTGGGCCAAATTGAAAGCCAGGAGCCAGGAGCTTCTATCAGGTCTCCAGTGAGGGTGCCAGGGACCCAATCATTTGGACCATCTTCTGCTGCTTTCTCAGGCTGTAGCAGAGAGCTAGATTGGAAATGGAGCAGCCGGGACTCAAACCGGCGTCCATATGGGATGCTGGCACTGCAGGCGGAGGCTTTATCCCCTATACCACAGCGACAGCCATGAGAGAGATTTTTAAGAGGTAAATGTTTTTGGTTTAAAATAGTATTGTCTTCCCTTTTTGGTGGTTTTCATTCCCATTCATAAACAAATTCTGAAATACAAAATCTAATTATTTCTAACACCTGACGCATAATACTGTGACTGTTCTCTCCACATCCTAGTACTCTTTAATTCATCTTTAGTTCATAATCTGTCCTAGTGTTTGGATTTTTTATATCTTCATTTTCAGATTACTTGATAACTGAATTGACTATATCTTTTTTCTTTTTCCATATACCTCAAGTTTGATTTTCATCTCATACCTTATGTCTTCAGCCACTCAAGTCACATCATCGTTATTAGTTTTCTTTATTTTTTTGGTAACTGCATTTTCTTAGTTCAGTCTTTTCAGTTTTATTTATTTATAAAAAGAGGGTTTTACTTTTTTCAATATGCCTGAAAGAAATAAGGTACTTATTCTCACCTTATGATATCACTATTCAGCTTGTTTATTCCTTTGACATTTTTCATCCAAAATAAAGGACAAGGAACAGAAATTGTAGTCAAGAAACTGAAAAACTGATCACTTCCTGAACTAACAAGTGTAATTACTGTTTCTGTGGAGTCCAAAATGGGCCACCACTCAAGCGGACTATTCGTTTCTCAAAAGAATCCTGAGCAACACTTTGTTTCCTTTCTGAATTGCAGGTTCACTCTCATAACATTTATTTGATCCATGTTGTATACTTGTTATATGCTGTTTTGTCAGAGGAATATAATTTGTAAATAATCTGTGCTTATCATCTATTAAAATTTGTAGTAGTCATACACATCACCAAGTAGTTTGATTTTAACTTTTGTTTCAATCTTCATTTTAGAAGAAATTTTGGAAACTATGAGGATAAAAGGTCTGCATGGGACCACTGCACTCTCCAGGCAAGCAGGCCAAGAAATCCTTTCAGTGCTCAAGTTCACCAAGTCCTGATACACCTGTGTGATGAAAACTCCTGGAAGCTGAATGTGTTCTGTGTATTTTGAAACTGAAGCTATTCCTTGGTTAATAAGGAATTTTATCAGAAATTTGTCATGAATAAAAAGGTAGAAAGGTGGGGCATTCCTTTTGATCAGGGACTCAGGCCTGCAGAAATGTTTACACAGATGCAAGTGAGTATGTATATTATATTTATAATTTGTATCTTACATATAAAAGTTATTTTTATATGATACATGAAAGATTGTTCAATTTTATTTATTATTTATTTTATTTGCAAGTCTGAGACATAAAACAGAGATCTACCTGCTGGTTCACTCCCCAAATTCCTAAAACAGCCAGGGCTGGACCAGGCCTAAGCCAGGTGCTGGGAACTCAACTCAGGTCTCTTAGTGGCAGGGACCCAGTCACTTGAGGCATCATTGCTGCTTCCCAGGATCCGCACTGGCAGGAAGCTGCACAGGAAACATTTCCAGGACATGAACCCAGACACCCTGATATGGGATATGGTGTCTCAAGCAGCTACTTAACCAGTGCATCAAACACCCACTCCAATTTCAGCATTATAATAGCAAAAGGATGGAATCAGTGTAAATGTCCATCAGTTAAGAGGTTGGTGAAACCAATGACAGTACATCCATGTTTTACTGATTGTTTAAGCATTAAACATGGGGCAGGTCTAAACAGACTGAACCAGAAGGGGTTCACAACGTGCTACTGAGTGAAAAGAGCAAGTTGCAGACCAGCATCATCTGCTCAAGTGGCCTTTGAAAAGTCCATGGAGAGTATGTTTATGAAGAAAAATACATAGACTATTTTTCTATCAAAATAAGTTTATCTTTTGAGAGGCAGAGAGAGTGTTCTCATTACTGGTTCACCTCCCTTCCCTCCTACCCCCAAATGCCAGCAATGGCCAGGAATGAAGATAGCAGCCAGGAGCTCAATTCTTGTCTCCCACATGGGTGGCGTCACCTGCTGCCTCCCAGGGTTTGCCTTAGCAGGAAGCTGGAGTCAGGAACTACAGCTGAGAGTCAAACTAAGGCACTGCGTGTGGCACATGGGTATCTTCACCACTAGAATAAATGCCCAGCACATTCTACTTTTGTGGTGGCATTTTTACACAATGATAATATTCCTGAGTGACAGTGGATTACTGTGAGCTTAACCAAGTGGTGACTTCAGTTGCAACTGCTGTACATGTTGTTTCATTGCTTAGGCAGTTTTAACACATCCCCTGGTATGTGCTACACAGCTGTTGATCTGGCAAGTCTTTCTTTTCACATCTGTCTAGAAACACTGGTCAGAAGCAGTTTGCTTTCAGCTGTCAAGGCCACAATATTTCATTGTCCTGTACTCGGATAAACCCTCCAGCCCTGTGTCATAATTTAGTTTAAAGGGATCTTGATTATCTTCCGCTTCCACAAGATACTACACTAATCCATTCAATTAGATTGGACCAATTGAGCAAGAAGTAGCAACCACTGTAGACCTGTTGGTAAGACATTTGCATGCCAGAGTATAGCAAATAAATCTAAAATTCAGTGACCTACCTTAGTGAAATTTGAAGGGGTTCAGTGGTATGGAGCATGTTGAGATATTCCCCACACACACTTTTTTTTAAAGATTTTATTTATTTGAGAAGTAGAGTTACAGGGAGAGACAGAGAGAAATGTCTCCCATCCACTGATTCACTTCCCAGTTATGTTATAAACAAGGCACTGTGGAATATCTACCATGTATAAGAATAACATGTATAAATCTTCAAAATTTGATTAAATGATATTGTAAAAACATGGTAAATTGAGAGTTATGAATTCCATGTTTAATCCTGTTTATAAACATGGTCCTATTTATATTCCATGAATATTCCTATTCACATATAAATATATATACATGGAATATATATAGTACAATTCCAGTCAGAATCCCAAAAGAGCTTTTCATGGAACCTGAACAAATGGCCAAGAACAGCCAAGACACTACAGATAATCAGAGGAGCATGGATGAACTTGAACTTCTCAAATGTGACTAGTAATTAATATAACAGCTTAGGGTAGTTTTGCATGGGCCCAAAGATATAAACTGAAACATAATAGCCCAAAAAGAAACATGCAGACAGAAACACATAAGATAGAGATAAGACTGCACATCAAAATGAGTTTTCTATAACTAGTACTAGTAAAAATACCTATATTCAGGAGAAAAACTGAAATTGGATTCCTATCTCATACTATATGCAAAACACTAAAACAGATTAAGGTGTAAATAGAAAGACTGAATTTAAAGCCGAGGAAAACTATAGGATAATAATTTTATGATGGCAGGGCAGAAAGTTTGCCTATATAACAAGAAAAAAGCACAGACTTCAAGGAACTATATATCTAGCTACATTAAAATGAAAGAGTTATGACTCCATTAAAATAATGATGAGACAATTCACAAAACAGAGGATTTTTGTAACATGTATATGGATTAACATCCAAGATACCCAAAGAATTCTTACATATCAACAAGTAAAAACTGAACAATAGAAATCCAATAAAAATGCTTAAATGACATTCAGAAAAAAATATAAAATAGCAAGTAAATATGTGAAAATTTCAATCATATTACTCATTAGGAAAATGTAAACCAATATCATTTTGGACCCAGCAGATTGGCAAAAACTAAGAAGTTTGGTGAAGATATGGAACAGCAGGAACTCATGACTGCTGGCAAGGGTATAAAGTGGCATAGTCTTTCTGGGAAATGAAAACAATTTGATATCCTCAGGTAAAGTGATCTATAATTCCACAACTAGATACTACAATATCAAGGATGTGTACAAAAATGCTTACAACAATGTTGTTTATAGTGGAAAACACTGGAGAAAACCTCAAATTCATTTAGCAAAATACAGAGAAATTAATAGTGGAATATTTCAGTAAAAGTAAGTGAATACCTCATCAACACAGATAAATTTCACAAACATTGAGCAGAAAATTCAAAAAATTTATAAGGGCTGGGTGTTTGGCACAGCAGTTAAGACTCTGCTTGGGATGCCTGATTTCAGGTCATAGTGCCAGATCTGCTTCAGATCCAGCTTCCTACTAATGTGCACCCTGGAAGACAGAACTGAAGACTCAATTATTGAATCCCTGCCACCCAGTGTGAGAGATTCAGATGGAGTTCCAGGCTCCGGGATTCAGCTTGGCCCAGCCCTGGCTGTTGTGAGACACTAGATCAAATATTTCTTTCTCAGCCAGTGCTGTGGTGTAGTGGGTAAACCCACCACCTGCAGTGCCAGCATCCCATGTGGGCACCAGTTCAAGTCCTGGCTTCTCCACTTCGATCCAGATCTCTGTTATGGCCTGGGAAAGCAGTAGAAGATGGCCCAAGTCCTTGGACTCCTGCATCCATGTGGGAGACCCAGAAGAAGCTACTGGCTCCTGGCTTCGGATCAGCCCAGCTCCAGCCATTGCAGCCATTTGGGAGTGAACTAGAGGATGGAAGACTTCCCTCTCTGTCTCTGCCTCTGCCTCTCTGTAACTCTGCCTTTCAAATAAATAAGTAGAATCTTTAAAAAAAGATTTCAAATAAAATATAAACAAATCTTAAAATGTATAAAAAGTTTTAATAGTACAAGTTTCATTAATATATTGTTTAGAGATGAATACACACATATGGGAGACAGAACAACTCTTCATTCTGAAAAGTGCCCATACCCAGATCCCTGGAACCTGTGAGTATGTTAGTTTATGGACTTAACAAATGTAATTAAAGTTATGGACTTTAAAATAGGGAGACTATCCTATATTATCCAGGTGGGCCTAATAATCTAATTTCATGAGCTCTTAAATGTAGAAAACTTTCTGGATTCAAGAGAAACACAATAGGATTAGAAAAGGACACACAAGTGGGACTGGAAGCTACAGCTACATTGTTAACAGGTTAACCAGCAGTGCTGGCATCCCAAATGGGCCCCAATTCAAGTCCTGGATGCTCCACTTTCAATCCAGCTATCTGCTAATGCGCCTGGGAAAGCATCAAAAGATGGACCGATTCCCTGGGCCCCTGCACGCACATGCGTGAGCTTCTGCTGAAATATCTTAAGAGTTTATGCACTTCTAGAAGTTCTACTACCTGAAAGAACCTGAGGCACACCCTAGAATATTTAGAGGACCTTTTTGCTGATGAACAATGCCCTCAGATACTGCCTAGGACCTTTCTAGGTCTTCAAAAAGGATTTCACAGTCAAAACTTCAACTTCATTTTTAGACCATGCTTTCTTGACACTCCCTTGAATGTGATTTTTGCCTAAGATGACCAAGTGAAAACCATTTTTACTGAGTTTCCCTATCATTCTCACAGATACTCAAACCCCAATTAGAATGGCCTGGCTCATTGACAGAAGCAGGAGAAATGGCAAGAAAAACCTCCTTAAGGGTGTGGAATGAGTGAATGAATTATAGGTGAGACTTGGCTTTTAACTAATAACACTTAGTGGTAGGTCTTACAGAAATGTTTTTTGCAAATGTGGCAGTACATTTGGGGAGTGTATTGTTGAATGAAAACCCACTGGCTGCAGTAAGTGCACTAGTGGCAATTCTATGAGGGAAAACTAACCCATCTTAGTTTTTACCCTTCTCACAATCTAACAAATTAATCTGCCAGTTCCACTGCTGGCAGAAGCAGCAAGTGTCCTGAGTCACAGCAGACTTTATTAGTCACCATAGGAATCATAAATTACCAGGAGCACTGCCATGTTGCCATCAGTTTTCCCTTGTCCCAGCTCTTCTGGGAGCAACAAGGATGAGCTCAGATGGATACTACACATACAATGGGCTGCATTACAGGAGAGAAATCGTGAATGTAGGGAAACGTAACCTTTCATTTGGGGTATTTTCATGCCTTTGTTTGTTGTGGAAACATTATGGGTCTGAGAGTAAGATTGCCTGCTCTTTGATCTAGAGATGTCTTCTCTTTTCCTTGGACAAAAAGATTATCCCTGTCTTCCAAGAATGTTCACTATGCAAATATTTTTTTTTTTACAGGCAGAATGGACAGTGAGAGAGAGAGAGACAGAGAGAAAGGTCTTCCTTCACTATGCAAATATTTTTTAAAGATTTATTTATTTGAAAGTCAGAGTTACACACAGAGAGAAGGGCAGACACAGAGAGAGAGGTCTTCCATCTGCTGGTTGACTCCCTAAATGTCCGCAGCAACCACAGCTGAGCTGATCCAAAGCCAGGAA